GATTGGTTTCGTGTGACTGCTTGGGTCTTGGGGGGGAAGCGAGTGCCTCGCTCATGTTATGGCCTGGCCCTAGACGGGTCGTAACACGCACCCTCCCTATTGCGCATGTCCCTAAAAGGTATGGCCTTCCAGATTGCCTCAGTTGTATCGTGAGTGTAATTTCAAATAAAATAAAATAAAACTCAGAAGCGTGTGTGTTGTATTCTTCTTTTTCTTGTTCTTCATCTTCTTCTTCCTATTATTATTATTATTATTATTAGCATTATTATCATTATTGTGATTATGCTTCATTTTTATGTACTGGGGTATCAATGACCCCCACACTGCTGCAGCAGCTTCTGTGCGTCGCCCCCAAGTGCTACGTTTTCTTTCCCGATCCCCTGACGAACCCATTAGAATCGCTCTGGGGCACTCTTCGACCCCAAATGATCGTTCTGGTTTTTTCATTTTCATTCACCTGTCTCTACTGAGGGTGGGGTACTTTGGGACCCCCGGGGTCTGGGGCTGCCCCGAAGGGGAGCACAAGGGTTAAGTCAAAACTCGATCCCATATCCCAGTTTTCATTACAAATGTAGTACTCTACTGTCAAACATTTAAAACTGCAAAATGGCCAGAGGAAGTTGAGATGGATAGCCTTGGACAAGAGTTTTAAACCAGGACAATATGACAAGGCTTTCAAAGAGTGGACCAACAGGGGCCTAACTGCTCTCTGTTTAATTACCAAAAAGGACGAAGTTAGGAGCTTTCAAGAGCTTAAGGACATGTTTGAATTGGAAAACCAGGATTTTTTTTCGATATCTACAACTTTGAGATTATTACAATAAAGAGATAGCTGAAGCTGAGATGATTAACCCTCTAATTGAAACAATGTGCGACGCCTACCAGCAGAAAACTACTAAACTAGCATCCAAATTGTACTCTAATTTGATGAAGAATCAAAGATTTACCTCTTTATATGTAAAGACAAAATGGGAACAGGAACTAAAACTATCAATTACAGATGAAACATGGTACCAGTTATGAGGTTCACTTCAAACGTCTACAAATTCCCTACAGTGGCAGGAATTTAATCGGAAATGTCTTATTAGGTTTCTTATCACTCCTCACATTAGGAGTAAGCAGTAGTGATGGGATTTCCGGCTCTTTTTAGAGATCCGGCTCTTTCGGCTCGGCTCACTAAAAAGAGCCGGCTCTTTCGGCTCCGAACCGGCTCTTCAGGTTGTTTTGTTGCTTTAATTAATTTATCATTAACAATAATATAAAATCATGCAGAAAAGGAATTACTAATGTAAAAAAAGTAGTTTTATTTATATATGTTTATATATAGCCCCTAGAGACAAAGCACATACAAACTCTAAAGCATATACAAACTCCAAAAAGCACGTACAAACTCCAAAACACATTTCTAGGGTTAACTGAACTTCCAAAGCAGAGCTACCCAGATCACTTAAATTGCACAATTGAAAGCATGTGTGTATTGTTTGTGTATTTATAGACAAGCACTCATATTTATTCAAATAATAAAAAAAAAAAAAGTTCATTTACCTGTTACTACCACACACCAAATCCGGTTGTTGATACTTCCTGGCTTGAGTAGCCACTAGGTAATAAAAGCTCAACACTGCGCCCTAGCATCCTGGAGCACTTCTGTTGTCTTTTGTATGTGCTTCTGAGTTTTTACGTGTTTTGGAGTTTGTACATGCTTCTGAGTTTTTACGTGTTTTGGAGTTTGTACATGCTTTGTCTCTAAGGGCCACTATAAATATACTTTATTTATTCACTCCACATAAAATGTAATAAATAAATCATATAATACAAAAAACAACTATTTACATTTTAAACTTTTAACTATTTAAATTTTCAGCTTTTTCCTTTTAAACAAATTTAACGTGAAACAACACAAAACACTGCAAACCACAACACAATTAAATATAAATTAAAATATTAAAACAAAAAGAAGATGCACATTCTCTGTCATATGGGCTTGCATGATATGTGAATCCTTTATCATCTGCAACTGAAAATAATGGTTTTTACTATACCTTTCTAATGCGACGTTGTTGTCCCTTGCTCTTTTTCTCTCTGGCTCTGTTCCTGTGCTACTGCGAGTGTAACTAACGCCCCTCCCCCCTCTGCCCAGCGCAAAGTACAGGCCGCCTGTGCGGAGTTTAGTGGAAAAAAGGGCGAGAGAGAGGGTGAGAGAAAGAAAAGGAGCCGGCTCGCGTCATTCACTTCAAAGACTCGGCTCTAAGAGCCATTTCGTTCGCGAACGACCCATCACTAGTGTTTTGAGATACTTCCCATTGCATTGAACAAGCACAAACTAGCATTTGAGTAACATGAAATATTTTTTACACAGTATTTAGTAGGGGTGCAACGATACTCATATCGATATTGAACCGTTCGATACAGTGCTTTCGGTTCAGTACGCATGTATCGAACAATACAAAATTTTAAATTTATTTTATCAACTTTTCTTCTGACGATGCTGTCTGTGTTGAGAGCTCAGTGGATCTGCGTTCGACTACTCCGCCTAGGCTGCACTGTCGAGCGCAGATCCACTGAGCGCAGCGCAAGCTAGCAAGACAGAAGCTAAGCTCATTGCAACATGGCAAATTGAACCTCCCCCACCCTCATTCAGATCTGGCCTTTGGAACTATTTTGGTCTTCATGTGAAGTATGACCCTGAAGGTAAGCGCGTCATGGACAAAAGTAAAACAGTATGTCGGATGTGCCACGCAATGCTCAATTACATGGGTGGGAACTAGTGCGTTAGCGCAGTTAGCTCGTTAACGTGTTGACACCGTCCAGCCCCACGCACGGGGCGATCCGCCGATAGCTCGTCATTTCAGATTAACGCTGACAGCACTAGTGGGAACACAACGAATATGATTGCACATCATCCTAGTGCAAAGACAAGTGGAAGCAGACAAAAACAACAAGCACGCATGCTACAAACTTTACCCGAATCATCTAGACAGCCGTTAGCACATGATTCTCCTTATGGGGACCTGATATGTTTAATATGCTGCTGAGAATATAGTCCAGAAGAAGCGTATAGTATAGCTTTTATTTTGGAAAGAGCCATTTCTCTGTAATAAACTCTTTTCCAAAGAATTGTGGAATTCCAACAGCAATTCCACAATTCACCGTGAACAGTCCAAGTTCAAGTCATGTTTAAAATTTCACATCTTATGTTTACTTTTGTTACATATGTAGTAAAGATGGCAGGATACATTAGACAGCAGTGACTTTTATTGAATAGGATTATTATCCTTCAAATGAGAATGTCCGCATTATTTACAATCGTTGCTGCATATGACCCACAGTGCAGTGATGTGATGAGAAAGGTGTATAGACATATCAGGTACTCACACTAGTGAAGGAATGGTACAAAGTAAATAGGAACTGAGCCAAATCGCTGCAGTGCTTCCTCTGATTACATTTTAAATTGCAGACATAAATTTCATCTATTTTGGCTCTCGGAGGAGGTGGATGCATCTTTCCCCCTCTCCCTCCCTTGGCTTCCCTGCTGCTTCTATGTGTTTGTCTAGTCTTGTCTAACTCTAACCCTCAAAGAGTTTCTCAGTCTTGTCCTCTAAAGCCTAAAGAAATATGGATTTGATCCAATTGTCCTGCAGAGACGTTTGCTGCCGGATACTCGATGGTCGGTTGCATCGTCTAACGACACTCGATGGAGGACATTGAACGACATCTATCTATGTATTAGGAACCACGATAACAGAGTTCGGGCTGATTGGAGCTGGCTTGGACCTGGCTTATCGAAGAACAAGAAGCTGCTACAGCTGTTCAAAATCCCATAAGGCTGGCCGACTTGATAGACGATTGGCAGGGCTGTGAGTACTCAGACTGTGTTTTGAACGCAGTATGGATAAGATCTCGGAGAAGCTCATGGCTCTGCAATATGGATAACATCTTGGAGAAGAACAATGGGAACTGAGATAATTGGTGACCAGTGATGGACATTATACCAACTGCAAAAATTGGATGCAGTTGTTCGCACTAAACCCAAACATTCACCATCTTCACTCATGCGGCTATCCCACTGGCGCCAGCTGAATCAAACCTGTATAAAACATTTCAAATTACTTGTGATTATTATGCTATTCCAAAGTATTTAAAAAGAAGTATAAGAGGCAAAAGTGTAGCCTTTAGCTTTAATAAAAATTGACTTCAGTTTACCTTTAGGTCCTCATCAGCTTTTGAGTTTCTGGCATTGCCATCAACATCAACATTGGCTTTCTGCATCTATAACTTCGAACAGCACTTCGAACCATGTCACTGAGGTCTTTTAAGGACGTTGCAGTAGTGAAGACTCCAACAGTGTGAATTGCAAGATGGTAGTTCTTTGGTGCACTGCAGTTTAAGAAGAAATTATCTTTAAGTGTTTCCAAAACAGTAATAAACAGTTTTCCCAAATTGAAAAATGAAATGCCATGTCACATGTCACAATAAAAAACAAACAAACAAGTGAATACTGTATTAAAACGGCTACACTTACTACTTTTTACAGATCTCCTTGGCATTCTTCATAACATAACTAAGGCATCTGTGAAGAATTGGAACCTCGAAGTCTTCCTTGTTTCCTTTCCCCGAAGTGATGTTATAATTATGATTTATTGTGTCAGACAGATTTTTTTTTGCAAAAGCTAAACAGATAGCTTGCATTAGGACCATAGATCCATCACACGTAAGCATTACAGCTGAACGCAAGGCTTTGCGCCCAAAGGTCAGTCAGTCAGAAATGCTTCCAGAAAATATGTGACCGAGGCAGTGGTATGGTCACATGTTAAATATGTAGCCACTGGTAGGGGAGAGCATGTTTTCCATGGATTCCTTACTACAAGTTCGTAAATACAGAAAGGAGGCAAACACTTTCTTTTTTTCATGATACTTCCTGTAGCATCCAAATAAACTATGTCCTCCCGACAGCGGCTCTAGAAAATTTCAATGCTCTTGGAAGACCATAAAAAAAACGCCTTTTGGATGTAACATCACTTTCTGCAATACATCCTCTGGGTTTTTCTTCTTGTTTGCCACCATTAACTGGAGACTCATAATCTCATTATGATGAAGACGACTTTTCTTTCGGATTTCCAATGCTATGTTTCTCAACACTTGAGGAGTTGGAACATCATCTCTACACCCCGATTGCACAACATCATCATCCATTTTGCTCATTTTTTCCAGATACATTGACTTTCGCCTTTAGATCGTCTTCTTTATCTACAGTGACATTGACAGTGACTGGACAATCCTCGAAACTGCAGTAACCCAGACACCAGAAGAAAGGGCCCTTTCTTACTGAGTCCAAAGCCTTGACTCTGTGCCCTTTGAAAGCAAAGGAACAATATGGAAACACTGTCCGTAGTCTGTCTGAAATCAGATTTGTCCACTGTAGTCCCTTGTATCTTCTTTGGGATCTCTTATTTTTTAGATTAGCCCATTCTTTCCTTTTCAAGAAAAAAGAAAGTTGGTTCAAGTGGAACCCTGATTCTTATGAATCCATCATCAGATGAGTTGCTGTTAGGCTACAAAAGAGAAAAAATTCATTTAGTGAGAAAAAGTTTTGTTCTATGTTACATAACTACTGTAATATCTGTAAATATACTTGAAATACTCGTGTATTTTAAGTATATTAACAGCCAGTGTTTTTAATTTTGGAATATATAGCAAAAATTCATGTCGAGAAGTGTCATTAAATAGAAATTGCATTCTATGTTACAACATTTGATAAAATTCTTTATTTAATTGTATATTGTTTTTACAAATATTTTTATGTAATATAACATGGTCATTTAAACGATGATACTAGCACCAATCATAACTTATTTGAAAGCATTTTTAATGACTGACCTGCTCAGGAGACAGCTGTCCATCCTCCTGCAAGGAGATGTCCGGTGTCAGGAAAGCGGTAGCTGATAGTTTTTCTGGTTGCTATTACATGAGTTGAGGGGTGTAACTTTAGTGTAATTACATGTAAATGTTAAAGAGAAATTATGCTAGTACAGACAGACTGACCTGCTCAGGTGATGTCCGATGTCAGAGAAGTGGCAGCTGATAGTTCTTCCTGTTGAAAATGACATTACCCGTAACAATATTCAGTTTAGGGATAATTTCAACAGTAATACATTGACTAAAATGTGGTATATCAACATATTTAATAGCAAACACATAGAATTTTATTTATGGAACCTGCTCTGGTGGCTTTTGTCCGTTATCTGAATCCCCTTTGACTGGTATAGACAAGTTCTGTAGAGAACAGCATACATTTTTAATAAATTTCATTTTAACGACATAATTTAATACAATATATTTAAAAAAAAATTTTCAGTGAAAAGAACTAACCTGACGAAATGCAAATTTAAATTTGCAGTTATTATCAAAGGAACACACATAATTGGTTGATAAGAAAGATTAAGACTTAGACAAGAGACGTTCAAAAGAGAGGAAAATACAGAGGGGATGAGGGACGGTGTGACAAGACAGTAAATTCCATTGGATTACCTACTGAAAAAAAAAACAGAAAAGAAAACAAGCAAAAATATAACACAGTAGGAAGACCACAGCCACAACCTAGATAAGTATAAGTAACAGTAAATAATAAATATTGGTGTCAGCACGGGCCCTGCTGAGAAACCTTATCATCTACATGTATTTAAAATTGAGATGTGGGCACCGGCAACTTAGGAGAGGTTGAATACACAGACCATCCCTTGGACGCCATTCAGCATGCCCAGCACAAGTGATGTTGATGTACAGGTTGTGGAATAAAATTGAGGTACAGGTGGTCAGAAGGGGACACAGGAGGAATGCCTCACCCCCACCTCAGTGAAACAACTGTACCCCAAAGCCCTGCATCTGTGGCGATGTGATGGAGTGGGAATGAGGAGGAGAGGGAAGTAAAGGCAAAGTACTCTCTCGTGGGGTCAGGTCCCCCACTGACCCCAGTAGGCACCACAGGAAGCCACAAAGGCCCATCTGGATAGGGGCCTACATTAGCACCACCACCAAGCCCCACAGAGCCTGGGGTAGTGGGCGCACATCCTAACCTACCACAGAGGAAAATACATCCACCCAAACATTCAATAATCTCTCTGACTACATACAGTAAGACAAAAGACACCACGGTTGAGTTTATTCTACACCTTTGTACTAATTTTAAAGTTAACTATTGTCTTTTTTTTGTGTGTGTTTTAAATGTGGTGAATACTTGACAAACAAAGTAAAAAGAAAAAAAAACAAAAAAGAAAATTATAAATTAAAGGGCCTTGGAGATGTCATTCAAACTAATACCATTGCACATCACAACATATATGTGGATAACAGAAAGAAAAAAAAACAGTTCAGAATAATTCTAATGCGAAATTAAATCCATTTTAGACCATTTTGAAATCGTTAAAAGAGTAGGTCGTATATGGGCAATTTAAAAAGGCCTTTATTTTGGAAAGCAAAATCAGAATGACTTGAAATTGACATGGTAACAACGCACGGTTGGATTCTGTTGATCTAAAGTGAAATTATCCTGTGGAAACAGCAATTTTCATTTTTGTGGGGTTGTATACTGTCAATACAGAGTGAAATTATCCTGTGGAAACAAGAATTTTTCTTTTTAGAGCATTTTGAAATCGTTACAAAAGTAAGTCAAATATTGGCAATTTGATAAGGCTTTTATTTTGGAAGGCAAAATCAGAATGATATTATATAGATATGGTATCACTGTGGGGTTGGACAATTTTGATCGAAAGTGTAATTGCCCTGTGAAAACAGGAATCTTCCTTTTTAGAGCATTTCGAAATCGTAAGAGCAAGTCAAATGTGGTCAATTTGAAAGTGCTATTACTTTGAAAGGCAAAATCAGCCTGACTCAAAATTTATATGGTATAACCGTGGGGTTGTATACTGTTGATCTAAAGTGGAATTATCCTGTGGAAACAGAAATCTTTCTTTTTAGAGCATTTTCAAATCGTTAAAAGAGTAAAAGAGTAAAAAAAATAAAAAAAAAGAGTAGGTCGTAAATGGGCAATTTAAAAAGGCCTTTATTTTGGAAGGCAAAATCAGACTGACTTGATTTTGATATGGTATCACTGTGGGGTTGTATACTGTTGATCTAAAGTTGAATTATCTTGTGGAAACAGGAATTTTCCTTTTCAGAGCATTCTGAAATCACTGAAAGGTAGGTCTTAAATGGGCAATTTCAACAGGCCATTCATTTGAAACACAAAACCAGACTGACTTGATATTGACATGGTATCATTGTGGGGTGGATACTCTTGATCTAGAGTGAAATTATGCAATGGAAACAAGAATTTGTCCTTTTAGAGAAATCAGAAGTCATTGAAAGATTATTTCCCGTATGGACAATTTGAAAGGGCTATTATTGTGAAAGGCAAAATCAGAATGACTTGAGATCAACATGGTATCACTGTGGGATGGAATACTGTCAATATAGACAGTAATTATTCTGTGGAAACAGCAATTTTCCATTTTAGAGCTTTCTGAATTCATGGAAAATGCACACTGATATATGGTCAATTTGAAAGGGCCATTATTTTGAAAGGCAAAACAAGAATGATTAATATTGACATGATATCACTATGGGGTTGTATACTGTCAATATAGACTGCAACTAGTCTGTGGAAACGTGAGTTTTCCATTTTGAATTAATTAAAAGAGTAGTTCAAAAATAAACATTCAGAGGGCTTTTACTTTGAAATCCAAAAGGAGATGGCTTTAATTGAGCTTTTATTTTGAAATCAGGTTTTCACATCTTTTGCCATAATACTCAGAATACACAGGGAATGTAAAACAAAGTGGAGGCTAGCTTGACTGCAATGCTGGAATTGGAGGCTGGCTTGACACCAGTAAAACCAAGGTGTATGTAGTCTGTACGGGAGGACCTAAACCTCAACGCAAGACGTAGTAAAAACCAATATTTCTGAGGTACTCGAACGCAACGGCAACGGGTAATTTATTCGTGATACTGATGTTTCTTATTGACTGACGAGTTCGAGGTGCATGCTAAGCATTTACATCTGCTTATGTGAAAACTTTCTCTACGAGTATTTATCTCTTTAGCCTTTATTTAATACATTCCCAAACTTATTCAAGTTAAAAACAGTACAGGACAGCATCAAAACAGGTTTTCTGTCCTGTTGTGATGCCATGATGTTGCTGCTTCAGCAGCATGGTTTGTCATCAGTAGACTAATTAGTTGTACCTGTCTATTTCCTGCAGCAGCTTATATTTAGTTTGAACATAGCTATAGACTGATATGGATCACTTTATAACTTATATTCATTGTAATATTTAAATCTTGAGAGAGGAGGATAGAGGGGGAGAGAAAGGGAGAAAGCAGGATGAAGACAGCAAAGAGAGAGAAGAAAAAGAAACAAGAGTGGACATGTAGTCAAATTCATCAAAAAATTATAAAACTGTAGCTTCTGTTTTACCCACATTCATTGATGTAATTTCACGTAACTTGTGCTATACTGTTATCAGTTATAAAACCCCAGGCCAGCTCTTATAATAATTATTATAAGATTATATTTTTGTTATTTTCCAGCAACTGCAATTCAAGTTGACTGAGGAGGATGGAGACAGAGAAAGAGGACTGAGGGTTGTACAAGAACAGGAATAACAAGTGAGCAAATAGTGAAGCTGGCTGAAAAAAAACCCCTGTATTTTTCACAAAGTAATTTTCCGTGTATTTCATGATTGCTTTGTGTGCTTTCCAGTAGCACACTTAAAAGATTTTAGTCAACATTCTAAACAGGAAATATTGATATGATTGGTAGCATTTTACAGTATTCATACTGTGGTGGTCGTAAGTGTGAGTAATTCCTCAGATAAGAATTAGGTGGATTTCAGCTTCTCAATTCCAATTAAAGTAAAAAACAGAAAAATCACAGTAGAGGAACAAAGTTCTATGCCAGCTGTTTTATTGAACAGTGAAGCTCAGCAAAACAGAAGGAAAAGCAAAGCTCCCCTAGGGTGTTTGCCGTAAGCGCATGGAGGTTAGGACCAACCCCAACGAGGTCTTGCCCATGTCCTTTTTTTGAAGAAACCAATTGTCCCACCTCCCTGCTGCTGAGAAACTTTCCAACACGCCCAAAAACAGCAGGTGCAGGTGCAAGTACGGGCCAGAGTCCGGCCAGGATGCTGGTTGAGGGCCCTGCCCAAAGGGACACCCTTAGATTAACCCTTTGCTTTGCCTTCTGACAATAGGTCACAACATGGTCAACGTTCACACATTAGTACAGCAAATAGCATAGTTTTTTGTGATAATTTTATGATATACATCTGAATAATACTTGACCTAACTACATCAAATATATGGGTTAAATGTTTTACATAATAATAAAGACTCCAGTGTATGTTTATAGTGTGTGTGTATATATGATCACATAATCCATACAGTGATTTCATTATGTCTTACCATGTTACTATTTTCTAAGGGACATATTTCTGAATGTGCTGCATGAAAAACATTTATTGTGTGTGTGTGAGGGCAAAACACTTCGTGATAAGACTCTATGTGAAAGTTACAGAATAAACAGTGGCTTGCAAAAGTATTGCAAAAGTATTGTTGAGTGCAGATGGATATATAGTGTATATAGTTATATAGGTATACATATCATACAACAATCCACCACACTAACTTCTTTCACAACTGAGCCTTTGCCTTGGGTTTGATGACTAAAGGCTCCACACTAAAACTGATGGAATAGATTGGAATCTCTGATTATTCACTCAGAATTATTCTTAGAAACTACAATAGGCCATCCAACTAATTAGGTTGCTTTGGAAGGTAACATTATTATGGTTATACAATTTTAAATATGACTTTTCAATTTTCAATCAGCATATTCCCTTAATATCAATTACAAGGCATGTATGACATTATGATTGTGAGCTGAGCCCCCCTAAAAGCTTGAACCTAGAATCACACCTGTCACTGGATAAAATGAAAATAGCTGATATCAAGTCCATTATAGTAGCTGATGACCCAGGAAATATCTCATTGTGAAATCTCATGCAGAGTACACACTTTACACTATTTAAACTGCTTTACTCTGCCTAGAGTTGCTGGCATATGTGGAATTCAATTTACACTCCACCTCCTTCTCAGCTCCACCTTTTGCGTTATATATTATATGGAAAAAAATACCAGGCTGCTTACATATTATATTTACATGAGCTTCTCAGCCATGAAACCAGTTCCAGCTTACAGTTTTGTGCTCATACTAATGTCAGAGGAGGTTTGGAAGCCTGCAGTTACTTAGTCAGCAGAGTGTTGTTGACTTTTATGCACCATCCGCATCAGCAGTCAGTGATCCCACTAACATGCAGGCACATGCAAAGCTGAGGGCACTGGCTTCCATTTAGTAAGTATTTATTACCAAAAAAGTAAATTTTGTGGTTGGAAAGTAATTTCAAGTGTTTTATTTGTGCTCATTATTATGAAATCACAATATGCATTCAGAAATATTTTATGAAAATATAATTCTGAATAAAATCTCAATAAAATACAATAGAAATACAATGGGGTTTTTGTCAAAGTGCTGCATTACTGAAATCCTCCATCACTCACGTTTCACTTTACGTTTACACATCCCAGTGTATATACACCTAATAAGGTAGAAAGTGGTTAAAAGCACAAGCAGCATAGCTACAGCCAGGAACAAAACTACATCTACAGAGTGGTAGGAGTACCAGGGCATTCTGTAGGACTGTGCTTTCAGGTGAGCTGCACCTTTGTGCCTCATGACAAACTCTATCCAGAAGAGGGCATTATCCAGTGGCTTTACTGGCTTATCTCTGTGTAGCCTGGAAAGTCTCTGCATGTTCGTCCTGTAAGAGGGATCATTCAGGACTTCCTCTATGGCCTTCAGGAAGTTGTAGTCTTTGTCCACTGTAGCTAATGTAAGTATCTTAGCTCCTCCTCTGTCTTTCAGACGTAGCAGGTTGTCATACTGATCAAAAAACACAGGTATTCCCACAACTGGGACTCCATGATAAATAGCTTCTTGGACTCCATTTGTTCCTCCATGTGCCACAAACAGTTTTGATTTTGGATGTCCTAAAAGGTCATTCTGTGGCATCCAGTCCACCAGTAAAGTGTTATTGCCCAGACTGGCTGGTCTGTCACCTTTATACTTCCAGATCACTTTCTGTGGTAGTTTAGAAAAAGCTGCAGCGATCTCATTTGCCATGTCAGAAGGAAGTTCAGTCACAAAAGTCCCCAAAGACATGAGGATGAAGCCATGGTCCCCAGAACTCTGCACAAAGTCTTCCAAGTGCTGAGGCAGAGGTTTAGCAGGTTTGCACTGGAACCCTCCAATATAAACAACATTAGGCATTGTGGGCCGTGGGTACTCAAACACAAAGTCCACTCTCATCAACCAAATGTCTGCAGCAATCATTAACTCATTAAAATCATAACCAGGCCCAAGATATTTGTCAGTTATTTTCTGGTATACTAGTTTAGCCACCAGGCTGTTCTGTGTTTGTGTTATGATGTGTAAAACCATGTTTGTAACTCTCTGAGAAAAGGTCATCTTGTCAGTATACCCAGTTCCAGTCACAGGAATGTAAGATAATGGTGACGGAGCTATGGAAAAATGAGCATCTGCAGTTATTACCCAGCGAACATTATAAACCAAAGGAAGGTTGAGATATTTCGCCAGAATGACTCCACCACCCCAGCAGGGGTCAGCGAGTATCACGTCAAACTTGCTTTCATTTAAGTTTCTCATCAACAGTTTGTCATCTACTATTGCTGTTACAAGTTCACCTATAGTTCTGTGAATGTCAACAAATTTGCTGAACAGCCCTACACCCATGTGGATAAAACCTGACAAGGAAAGAGCACCTTGTTCAGATTCTATGAGCTTAGCCACCATTTTTGACATAATCTCCTGAGTCACAGGGTTTTCCACCGGAACTGTTAAAATATTATAACTAGAGGAAATATCCTTGATGTACCAGCTTTTACTGGAACACAGAATTGTTATGCTGTGTCCTCTAGAGTGCAAAGCCTTTAGTAGAATATCCATATTTACCCAGTGGCTGCCTTCTGAAGGAAACACTAAGATGTTACCTCCTTCACAGGCTCTGGGAATAGAAATGAGCAGCAGCAAAGCAGTGCAGCAATAGATCACCTTCATCTGAAATGAAGAAAAAAAATGAATTTACTGACATGAAAAAGATGTTCACGGTAGAAACAGACTATGAAAATTTCAAACTACATTTTTTTACTTTGTCAATGAAAAGTTTGAGAGTGATGCAATCACAAGCCATCCATATATGCTCTTGCACTTTCATGATTTATTAAGCAACTTTCTGTTTCATCACTGACATTTTTGAATTTGTAATAATATTTATAATAACATATTTGAAGTTGGTACACGTTTTGTCATTGGTGCAGATAATTTATTAGCTTGAGGTAGGTTGCACGTTTTAAAAAAGAAGGCGTGTAACTGCATAATTGGGAGGTTTTTTATTTTATTTTATTTTTTATTTAATTAATAAAAAGATACCGACACCGCGCTGCTGAAAGCGGATGACGTAAGAGTCTACCGAATGTTGATTGGTTGACAAAATAGAGAAGCAGAGCCACTGAATGTAGAGAACGGAGCTACGACGGAGTTCACCGGGAACGGAAGAAGCACGAAACAAACAATAAAGATTAAAAACTGCAGTATCGAAAGTACAGACGGTGGCTGCAATCGACACTTTTCATTGTTTTCAACGTTCTGCTTCGGCTCTTTGTATGCTATAACTCTGCTCTTCTCCGTGTCTGACTGATGGATCAACAATAGCATAAGCATGCGTAGCCCACACACCAGTTGTACCACACTGCTTCCAAGGACAATAAACCCTCTCTGCAGCTAAACAGGAAGCCCCAACAACCCGGGGACTAGAGCAGAGACCCTCGGTGGTTTTCAACACCGTTTTTTGGGCGGGGGTTCCACAAAAACCCACAAAGCTTAAGAGTAGGCCACTAACTCCAGTCGCAATTTGAGCAGAGCTTTTACGTGGAGTAGCAAGGTTAAGTTAATTTCCCGTATACACAGTCACATTAACACAGAGCGTTTCTACTTACTGCTGGACGTTTGGTTTCTCCACACAAGAAATGTAAAGAGCCTGTTTTCCAGAGCGCCAATGAACGAAATCTGTTCAATTAATGTTGCTATGCAGGATAGAGAAGAACTGAATCACAATCCAGGATGCACGTTGAAGCCTGGAAGGCAGGAAGTAATAACTATCTGTGTTCAAAGGTGACGGGGATACTTGGAAAGCAAAGGTGTGTTTATGTACTCTGGATCAAAGTTAGTGCGTCATTTATGAATTAACTGAAATTGTACACGTTTTCATTTTCACTGAATAAGGAATTAAATTCCAGTGTTTTGTCAGCACAGTCTGTAGGCGTTAACCATTATAAAGATTATTTTTGTTATGCATTGAAAGGTTTATATTGAAGCTGCATTTCTTAATGGATAAGTCATTCTGTATTCATTTTGTAATTTTGTTTGAATGATTCTTAATTCTTAGCTTTATATTTGTTTCTGTGTAATGTCATGTAAATGTTATGCGACCCTAATGAGGTTTGATCGTTTCTAAATTTGCAACCATTCTAAATTTATTGGTTTATAATATATGAGAGTTTCATATGTCGATATATAGCCTATGTAGATGCATGTCGGTGCATCTATGGTGGTTTATTGCACATACTAAAACTTTGGCTGTGAAATAACTGCAAGAGATGAATGTCTTCTGTTCATCTGCAAATCCTGAAATGTTTTTTCCAGGATTTGATTTTTTTTTGTAAAGATTTGCATGTAACAGATAATTCTGATATTTTTCAGAAAGGCCTCCCATTACCGTTTCACAGATGCTATGAAAAGTATAATAGGTTATATTTAACAGGTTTTAATACTAAATAACAAGACTGCTTTTACACACATAAGCCCTGCATACTCACACAAAATTGTGTTTTGTTATGTATTTAGTATTTTATAAAACAAAAGATATGACAGTAAAATGTAAATATGCTGCACTACTTTGGAAAATGGTTTTCCAACAGAATTTGGTTGATATTTATCTTCCCCTTGCATGTTAACATTTCTGCATCCCACAATATGCTGTCACCATGGAAGCAAACATATTGACACAGAATTGTGGGGGGGGACAAGTATCACAAAATACATCATCATGTGTGGCAGTGGGCACCAGGTAATGATCTGGAAACTGCTGGTTAGATGCAAAGCAGAGTGGCAGTGGCAGAGCTTACCATTAGCTGCTGTGGAGAGGCAATGAGGTGGCTGCATGGAGGGTGCAATTATTCTTGCCTGTTATTAGTGACCACGAGAATGTTAGAGAAACGGGAAGGATGGAAAACGGTGATGGTGCTGGGGGCTGGGGGCGGACTCTCCTAAGGAACAGGAGGAGGAGGGGATGAGCATGCGTTGCCTGTTCACAATTGGAGGCAGCAGGGAGTGAAGCAGCATCTGTGTAAGGCGAGAGAAAGAACCTGCATGTAATGGAGGAGCAGTACAGCAGCACTGCCGCTGTTGTTTGGACACTAACTACCTTCACATCCACTGTTAATCACTCTTAATGGGACAACCTCAGAGCAGGTATGGATACAGCAGCTGCATGCTCACATATTAAAATGTAATTTTTATCTTGGAGAGGGTCATCTTAGCAAGGTGAAGGTAGAACATATTCTTGACTTATGCAGATGTTGTTCTGGATGTTATAAGTGTGGTTGCAGTTTATTATTTAGTGTAGATGATGCTTATTTGTTTTTCACAGCCTTTCCCCTGAAATCCCTAAATAAGATTTTATTCGGCTTTAATAAAGACGAATAACTTGGGATTTGAGCGTTTACCCAAGGCAAGATTTATTTACTCTGATGTATAAAGAAGCCACGGTTTTTAATAACTATTGTTTTGAATATTTTATTTTCCAGCTCTGGGATGCCCAAGGTACCAGCTGTGTGGATCGAGTGCCACCTCTGATATGATGTGGAGAGCAGGAGGGGCAGCCACCTCTCTCACACTGCTGCTGCCATTGGTGTGCTGGTGCTACCTGTGCCACTCACTACGTGAGTGTTTTATGACCTGGGGATGCCTGATGACAGAGTAGCAGAGTTTTCTACAGAATATTGAAAAAAAATTGCAAGAGTTCAGCTACAAGGAGTGACTCGTATCAGCATGTTAATATAAAATTTTATAATTTGTGCATTTGCTGTGAGTTTAGAAAAACAAGTTAGCTATCCTCTTACTGATCAAATATGTAAAAAATTCTAAAGCTAGTAACTAAAAGACTGTGTTCAATTTTAAATAGACTTCCTCTGAAAAAACAGAGTGCTTACTTTTTACTATGACACACGATTTTCGCCTAATACATCAATAATTAACACTCTGTTTTCATTCGTTATCACTGACTGAAAACAGAGGGTCTGTGTGGATAAGTGGATGGAAAAGATAACCTTTGGTTATGACAAGAGAATAACTGAAGTCACTCTTGGAGAATTAACTTAGTAGAGGTTATTGGTGGACAGGTGAGGAACAGTAGAAAGTGAGAAAGGACAGGAATAATAATATAAACTATACCAACGGGAGGGAAGAAAGATCTGCTGCCATCATTAAAGTATATACAAATATACTTTATTTGTCCATTATTTTGTGATCTCTTGTTATTAATGTTTTACATATTTGCCTGACTGTGGCAGCATGTGATCTTTAGAGAATTTATCACTGGAATCCTCAGCAACTCACATTATATATTCCATGTTTATTGCATTACATGCTTAGTGTTTTGAGATGCTTCCTATTGCACTGAACAAGCAGAAGCTAGCATTCATTTGAGTAAATGATTTAACATGAAATATTTTTTACGCAGTATTTATGTGTAAATATCATTTGCTGATAGAATTCAACATTTGCTGACACTGATAATGAATGAGCTCCAGGTTTTTCTCATATACTAAACACCAACTTTTTACTACATCATTTATGACTGAGCACATTCCCAGGTTACCAATAAATCATCAGTGATGAATGTAGAATCCAGAAGATTCTCCTGCTTGTTTTTCACCCAAGCAGGATGCTGGTGACAGTGCAGAAGAAGCTCTGAGAGATGATGAATTTGCTGATCACACAGTCATTGATTGAGGCTGTTTGAAGCCTTGTCTTTATTGATCCACGCAGCCTGAGAGTGACACCACATATTTGTGGTCAGTCTTGAGGTAGATTTGGAGCCACATTCACTATCCATAAATTGAGTTTATTACCATGGAGGTGAAGAATCAGTAGCTTCTGGTTTGTACTGGTATTCTGATACAGCAAAGCGATGCAGCAGTTGTAAAACAGTTGAACCCTTAATGTGGTGGAATTGGTTTAATGCCATGACCACAATCTATGCCACCTACTCTATAAGTGCTTTGATTATAAAGAAATTTAGTTTATATAGTGAACAAACTAGGATTAGATGAATTAAAATGGTTGTTAAACACTGAGTGTATGTTAGCACCCTGTAGTTGTTTGTGTTTTAACAAGTCAGCTGAAGAAAAACTTCATGCCTAAAGATATTCTTGCCTACAACTTTTTTCCTAAAATTTGGCATCAACAGCAATTCCACAATTCACCGTGAACAGTCCAAGTTCAAGTCATGTTTAAAATTTCACATCTTATGTTTACTTTTGTTACATATGCAGTAAAGATGGCAGGATACATTAGAAAGCAGTGACTTTTATAGAATAGGATTATCCTTCAAATGAGAATGTCCGCATTATTTACAATCGTTGCTGCATATGACTCACAGTGCAGTGATGTGATGAGAAAGGTGTATAGACATATCAGGTACTCACACTAGTGAAGGAATGGTACAAAGTAAATAGGAACTGAGCCAAATCGCTGCAGTGCTTCCTCTGATTACATTTTAAATTGCAGACATACATTTCATCAGTACACGTGCATGAAGCACAGTCTAACTGCAGTGTTTTATTTGGATATCGTTCTGAGGCTATACTCTGCAAATATTAACTGATGGCATCTTACAGACTGGGAACCTAAAAGAAAAAAAAGCTATTGCTTAAATTTGTCTCTAGCTAACCCATCATCACCCAGAACATCCCAGCTAAACACTAAAAATGTATTTTGATCACTCCATTAGCAAAGGCTAAGTAGAAAATATTCGCTACCATGCTTGGCACTCATTGTAAAGGCTTCATACATTCTCTTTTGTTGTAGTAATCTTAATTATATATTCAGTATGAGTTTGGTTCCTAACTTTGGTTTGCAGAGGTCATAGCCAGAAGCGCTACACATAAAACTAATATAAATTCAGAAAGGTAAATGCAGTGCTGTTTGAAAACATACAGGGAATGGTTTAACTTTTTTTAACATGCCTGTTAATAAGTAATGCTATATTTTCTGAATTACCTTAAAATAAACCAGTATAGATAGATAGACAGATAGATATAGATATTTTAAAAATCATGTCTTTTCCATCTCTTAGGTATTCCAAAACTCTCCTCCTACGCAAAAGCAGAAGACAAACTATTCAAATATCTCTTTAAAAACTACCAGAAATGGGTTCGTCCAGTGGAATACCTAAACCAGACAATCCGTGTGAGGTTTGGACTAGCTATTTCACAGCTTGTTGATGTGGTGAGTATAAATCAGCACTGATTATTACTGTGATAATGTTTATCTATTTGTTACCAAGAAATCATATAAAGGACATAAAATAGTTTGTTCAAAGATTAAATGCCATTTAAATCACTGCTCTGTTCTCTGCTCTCTAAAAATATAATGTATCACTTAATATAAAATGTGAATGTTTTTTGTACAAAATGTGTTGTTTTACAATTCTAGGATGAGAAAAATCAGTTAATGACAACTAATGTTTGGATGAAACAGGCAAGTACCTCTATATCTGTACTTACAAAATGATGTAACATCATGTTGCGCCATTAATATTTCTATAGCACCTTTCTAATCTAAACTTACAAGAAATATTAAAAAATACATAAAGCCCTTGAATAAAAAGACGCCATATAATAATAGGAGGATGCTTATTCCACAGTCTTTGGGCCAAAACAGTAAAGGTACTCACCGGCTTTGTGTTAAGGCTTGAATGTGGAAGCTGTGACAGCAATTGATTCTCTTATCTGAGAGATCTGCTTGCTTAATGAAGAGTTAAGTATTTTGAGATATAAAGTGGAGCTCTATCATGTAGTGATTTAAAAGTAATCAATACAGTCTTAAATTGGATTCTGCAGGAATTGTGAAGCCAGTGTAGCTCTGCAAGAGCTGAAGTAAAATGTTTCTTGCATTGAGTGTTTGTGAGTAGCGTTGCTGCCGTGTTTCGTACTAAATGTAGATGGAAAACTGCTGCATTGTTAAATGAGTAGCAGCATTCAATTATATTATTATATTCTGTCTGACCTTGGCAATATTTATAATCTGTAGAGATTAAGATTGAAGGGTTAATAGTCTCAGGATTTTGTTGTCCAACAGCAGGAAATTACACTATTAGGAATATAGTCAGGAGGAATGGGTGGTGGTTAGTGGTTAAGTTGTGATATTACTCTGGCCTAAATTTTAGTGGTCTTGTATTGAAGTTTGTTTGCCAGTGACAGGTGGGTCACACATGGGCCTTAACACTTTGTATTAACTGGATAGAAGTAGCAGTCTTCACTCTGGGAATGGCTGCTTTGGCTTTTTAGGATGTTTTATAACAGAAGAGCATAGACTGGACAGGAAAGCTGGGATAGAGAGCCAGGAAAGTTATGTGGGAAATGCCCCACAGGAGATTTGAATCTAGACTACTGCAATAGCCTTGAGGCATATGAGTCACACTCTCAATCCAGCAAGCTATACTAACACCTTATAAATCTGATTTCGTAAGGGGAGGCTGAATACACGCCTGCTTCTGTGTAAATAATCATTCTGTACAATACGATAATTTTTAATTCAACACTGTTTATAACTTGCATAGTTCACATTTCTGTATAGCTGTATATCTCATATTTCTCTATAGTTTTTTTATTTCATAGTTTTTCATATTTATATCCTGTTCATACATAGTTCGTACTCACTACAGCCTGTACATACTTATAGTTATAGCATATTCATAACATACCTTCATACCGTGTACATTATAACATACCATAATAGACCCATTTCTGTAATATATTTACATATCTATATTGATAGTCATGGCTAAAGCACTTCTAGATGGATGCAAACTGCATTTCATTGCCTTGTACCTGTGACATGTGCAATGAAAATAAAGTTGAATTAAGTTCTATTCTATTTTTATCATAGTCTGGTACATTGCCAGATAAAACTGACATAGCTGTTCATTGTATGGAGCCATGTTCCCAGTGTATTCATGGTTCCTTGTTTTATCTCTTAACTGGTTAAATAATAATTGGCAATGACTTATGGCTTGGATCGTATTTCTACCACCAAACTATCTTCTCAGAACCTCTTACCAGCCAAATACCAATTACCTAAAGACAGGATTTGTTGTGCTGTCATCTCCCTCCATTATGATAGCTTGAGGGAAACCAGATGTTTGTAACCGTCCTTTTTTCTTCTATCCAGTCATCTTGTTACAGTCCTTATCACTTTCCATTTTCTTTGCCACCACTACCAAATTTCTCTAGTCTAAAGAATAAGTTGTTGTCACTTCTAACTAGCGGTTCCTCCTTGTTCCCAGTCTCTGCGCTAAGTCAACCAGCTACTAGCTCAGGTGCCATGAAATTATTACAAAAACTGACTTTCAAGAAAGGATAGGAATTTTCAAATAAGTTAAATATGTATTTTAGCAACCCATTGATAGATTAGTTGTGGTTTTAATTGTTAAATGGACTCTTTTCCCTCACGTAGGAATGGACTGACATGAAACTCAGATGGAATCCTGATGAATACCTTGGCATCACATCGATCCGTGTCCCCTCAGACAGGCTATGGCTGCCGGATGTTGTACTGTATGATAAGTATGTCACTGTACTGTATATAAATAGGTTATTAAAAGATATAATGAAAAGCTTTTTCTTTTTTTCTTACATTTTCCTAATTTTCCAAATGATTTTCATAGTATATAAAGCAAAGAAAAAAAGTGGGGAGATTAAAATGAAGTAAAGGAAGTTGTTGTTCTGGATGTTGTAGGACTACTCTTAAAGAAGCTGTTAGCTAAAATGTGGGCATATTTTTCTTAATAGTTCTGATGGACGCTTTGAGGGAACTATCACCAAGGCCGTTGTGAAGTACAATGGTACAATATTGTGGACACCACCAGCCAACTACAAGTCAGCCTGCACCATTGATGTCACCTTCTTTCCTTTTGACCTCCAGAACTGCTCAATGAAGTTTGGCTCCTGGACCTATGATGGCTCCCAGGTGAATTTCTATTATATAACAGCATCTGCAGTACATTAATATTGTAATAAACACTGATTAATTAGATTCCCTTTTTGATTTAACAGGTGGACATAATTCTGGAGGACTTCCACGTAGACAAGCAGGACTATTTTGACAATGGTGAATGGGAGATAGTAAAAGCCACAGGCAGCCGTGGTCTGAGGACTGATGGCAGTTCTTCCTATCCCACCATTACCTACTTCTTCATTATCCGCAGGTTGCCTCTTTTCTACACCCTCTTTCTCATCATTCCCTGCATTGGCTTGTCCTTTCTTACCATTCTTGTTTTCTATCTGCCTTCAAATGGTGGTGAGAAGATCTCTCTCTGCACCTCAGTGTTGGTGTCGCTTACCGTCTTCCTCCTGGTCATTGAGGAGATCATCCCCTCCTCTTCAAAAGCAATCCCACTCATTGGGGAGTACCTGGTCTTTACCATGATCTTTGTCACACTTTCCATCATTATTACTGTCTTTGCCATCAACATCCACCACCGCTCTTCTTCTACACATCACAGTATGGCACCCTGGGTGAGGAAAATTTTCCTGCATCGACTTCCTAAATTGTTATGCATGCGCAGCCATGTGGATCGTTATGCCACAGCTGGAGTAGCCAGGGCTAGAGAAGCGGTGGGACTGGAAGGGATAAAGAGCTCGACACCTGAGCTCACTCAGCTCCTCTACACTCGACACAACCTAGAAGCTGCTTTGGAGTCTATTCGCTACATTACCATGCATGTGGTTAAAGAAAATCAGGTCAGAGAGGTGAGTTTTGAGGGTTTTTTCATTTGTAAAACAAAATCGCAAATTACAACAAAGACTGTAAACTTGGAAAAATTACGGATTCATTACCCTGAGTTAGCTTATATATGTGTCTGCCCATAACCATTAAGAATATAGAGACTGCCATGTGCTTCTTCTGTTACAGGTTGTTCAAGACTGGAAGTTTGTAGCCCAGGTTCTGGATCGAATGTTTTTGTGGGCCTTCCTCTTGGTGTCAGTCCTTGGTTCTGCTCTCCTCTTCATCCCAGTTATTTACAAATGGGCCAGTATCATTGTCCCTAGCCATGCTGGAAGTATCCTCTAATAACCACAGTTAGACTAACCAAAAATTGAAGCAAAGCACATAAACAGCTACTTCTAGTCATATTTGAGATATGATTATAGTCCTGCTCGGGGTTATTCTGTTTGCTATAGGTGTGCCAGAGCTGCACAGCTACAGCTTTGGGTGCCTTGTTTGCAGAGTGGAGAGAAACAGGCTTTGTCTCAAATCCATAACATGTACTGTTCCTATGTAGGCTTTCAGTATATAGTTGATTGATACTGGAATAATGAACAAACATGTACTCAGAGTAGACATATATACTGAATACTACCAATTTGTAAATGTGTCTATGATAAACAATATTTTTCAACAAAGCACAACTGAAACATAAAAACCCTTAAAAATCTTTAGGGAAAGGGTATAATATGAGACTTAGTGTGTAGCAGAGTACATAATCACTATAGGATGAACTTGATTTTAATCTAAATTCTGCATTTGAGATTAAATATTTCTTAGAAAAGATCATCTGCATTTCTGTCCACATTTCACATATAAATAAATAACAGTACAATATGATACATGTATTTGGCCTTGTCTGTTTACTGGCATCATTGAGTGGATTTATTGTTGGTTCTGGAAAAAGCACAATCCAATATGGCAAGAACAAATCCCAGAGATTCCCATAAATCCCTTCATGAGGACATGAGGAAAAGCATACCCCATGAAGGCACTAGGACACGTTTTAAGCTTTATGTACTAGTTTTTGATGATCTTTTGAACTGTAGAACATAATCATGATTCTCACTTTTACACAGTATGCCCTATCAGCAATGTCAGATTCATTAGTAGTTTAAAAATAGACTATTCTTGCAGGTAAACACAAAATCTGACAAGGTGCACAATTGTGAAAGAGAACAGCTCGTCTTGGTAAATAAAAGATCAGCATTTCTCCACAATTTCCTTGAATTCCTTTGCCTTTTAGAAGGCTACAGTTATATGACCACAATAGATACAATTATTATTATGCTGACTGCATGTGGGTCAGTTAAGTTCTTATATGGAAACATTTAAATAGTTTCTTTATTCATTCTCCCTCGCCCTCTTTGAGAAAGAGCAGACTTTCTTGCCAGGACTTGAATTTCACAGCACTTCCTTTCACCTTGAGGACATTTACTGCATACTTTGTTGAGACTGTAAGACAATCCATGGTCGCAGTACAAAAGACGCTTCAGGGACGGGATGTTTTTATTTCACTGAAATTTATTACAGAATTAAAAGCTATTTGTCTTGCCAGATTGTTTTGTTGTATGACTGATTTTTCATACCTCAGATAATTCTTTCTAAGTGGAAAAAATGGTGGGGAGGTTTACTTCACTTCTGGAAACGTTTGAAAAACCAGGAAGACTGCTTTTGTCTCCGGCCTTTAGTTGAGCCTGCACTGCCCCCACATGGCCTTATTTTCACATTACAGCTATGTGAGCGTATTGATGAGTGACATTTGATTTTCCACTACACCACTAAAATACAGAGACTATAAGTTGAAATAATAAACATAGTTGGAGGGGGGTAAAGGATGTTAGGAATAAGGACAGCTAAAAATGCAGGTGAAAAAGGATTAATTAGCACAAACCTCGGTTTTTAGCTTTTTGAGTTTGCAGGTTGAAACGTTTAATGATATGATGGAATCATATGCAAAATGGCTATCATGCTTGAAGATGAGAATTTGATGAGTAATTTAAAGGTGCACAAATATGACCTAGTCCTCACTGACCCAGCATGGGGTGCAGGCATATTAATCGCCTGAAATTACCTCTGATCTATAATGTACAATTCGCAACTAGTGGGGAGGGACACATGGCCATTGCACCTTCACCATTATCGTATATCCCAATAACTGGTTCTGGGCTGACAGACAGCATGACTTTCATACAGACAGTCAAAAATCTAATTTGCTATGTCATCTGGTAAGCACAGGACATATTTTTAATCCATCCTCAGTATCAAGCTGTTTTCAATAAATTCTTTGGCTCAGATGTTACATATTGTGGCTTATTACAAGGAGCAGACCTGTGGCTCATGAGAGTGGACTTTGTGTTTGAGTTCTCTCGACCGACCATGCCTAATGTTATCTATATAGGAGGATTTCAGTGTAAACCTTCAGAACCACTTCCTGAACACTTGGAGGACTTTGTGCAGAGTTCTGGAGAGCATGGCTTCATCCTCATGTCTCTGGGGACTTTTGTGACTGAACTTCCTGCTGATATAACAAATGAGATCGCTGCAGCTTTTGCTAAACTGCCACAGAAAGTCATCTGGAAGTATAAAGGTGACAGGCCAGTTGGTCTGGGTAATAACACTTTATTTGTTGATTGGATGCCACAGAATGACCTTTTAGGACACCCTAAAATAAAATTATTTGTGTCACATGGAAGAACAAACGGAGTCCAGGAAGCTATTTATCGTGGAGTTCCCATTGTGGGCCTACCTGTGTTTTTTGACCAGTATGATAACCTGCTTCGCTTGAAAGAAAAAGGAGCAGCTAAAATTCTTACATTAGCCATTGTGGATAAAGATGATAATTTTCTGAAGGCCTTACATGAAGTCATGAATGATCCCTCGTACAGGGCGAACATGCAGAGACTTTCCAGGCTACACAGAGATAAACCAGTAATGTCACTGGATAACGCTCTCTTCTTGATAGAGTTTGTCATGAGGCACAAAGGAGCAGCTCACCTGAAAGCAGAGTCCTACAGAATACCCTGGTATTCCTACCACTCTGTAGATGTAGTACTATCTTTTTTAGCTGCTGGTGCATTAATTACTTTTTTTTTTAAATCTCTTGTGTTCTTTAGGCTGGTATGTCTTGAAAAATGCCTGAAAATTAAAACTAATAGGTTGAATAAGAAATGATAAGACATGGTTTGTGTTATTTTGCAGATTTCAGTGTAGTTTTCCCCAGTTATGCTACAAATCAAAGCTACTGTCAAATGTGAAAGTTCATTCAACTGAATAAAAATTACAACCATAAAACCCTGATCCCTGTGTCCACAGTCTGTATGTCCCCATGGTGAACAGTAGAATGTGCTTTTTCTATCTTAATTATTTAAATATGCAGGATAATGTGATAGCCTTCCCAAACCCCAACCTCAAATTTATTAAACATGTACTGTGTGGATTAGAAACAATTTATTGAATACAAATACATCTAATTACCACAATAAAAACATAATAATTGTAAATTTGAAAGCTATACACAGTGAGTATTTTTTATTGTATTATATACATATTATATACATTTTTATGATGGATTGATGGAAATAAGGGGTCACAAAAATGTGAACACATCTCTTGGAAAAATATAAAACACTAATGTCTGCATGCTCTAGAGTGAAAGCAAAATGCAGACTATTTTATAAAGCATGGTAAGTACATCCATGCCTTTGATCAAAATGTTTTATGAAGAAACAAGAAACAGCAAGTTGGGGCAAGTCTTTCTTCCGCTGTGTTGCTGATAAACATCTGTGAATGCCGATGCTTCGCAGCCACTACACTTTCAGAAAACATTGCCACTCATTCTGAACATGATCATTGCCTGCAGTCATTAATTAGCTGAAACATAGAATAAAGAGGAACTGGGGGTGGGGACGCTGTTGTCTTTCTTTTTACGTTTCATTGATGAACTATAAAGGCATTCTGGCCTTGAATCTGCAGGCACATCATCTGTGGTTGGAAAGTTTCAGTTAAATAGTGGTTGCAAGTGTTATTTAGACATGTGTTTAATGAGTTTCAACACTCATGGGCTTGCCTTTTGCCTCTTTTCCGGTAACCATCTTTACTGACAGAATTAACTATTCTAATTCAGGCAGCATGAAACACTCTTTCACACATTTCCTGTGGTCTTCCTGTAAGACTGAGTAAAGCAACAAAGACAAACCTTCTGGTTTCAAGTATTAAAACACCATTTGTAATAAGTTCCCAACAATATGTTTTCTTATTCTAATAACTTCATGCTCAATCCAGCTCAAGACTAGAAGACATAATAACTACTCTTAGGTAATACATGTTGTATTTGATAATGCAACATGTCATCATGTTGCATTCATCTTACATTGCCAATTGTGATTCACTGAATATATTAATTTTAAAGTACTTTTAGTACCGTACTTTAGTAAAATGTATTACTTGGCATGCTGCTGATTAATGTTATGGGACTTATCATCTCTTTTATGTTCATGTTAGGCAATAAAGTCACCTGAATGACTGTTAAAAGGCATCAAAACTATGTCTATTATAGCACAATGAAACACAATGCGATCGCTTACCTACAACAGTGTACGCGTCTTCAAAATTTTCAGAAGGCAATGAAACCTCAGCTGCCAGATTGTTTGGACACCTGATGATAAAATGTTGTTAATGATCAGATTTCATTACTGCTCATGCTTTTGTTGTTATTACACATTTTTTAAGTGTACAGATGTTGAAAATAAAAATATATTCTTACGCGTCATCATACTCTATGCTGAAAGAGTCTTCTTTTTCTGATAAAAACACACACACAAAAACACAGTGAAATACAGAGAAAAATTAAAGTTCATAGCAATTTCTATTTATAACAGCTGTATATAGCTCACTTTTGAAAGCTTTGAAAAATGTAGTCGTTAATGAAACAGATGTGATTTGAATAGTTTTAAATAGTTTTTTTGTTTAAAAGAATATGAATGTATAACTGTTTGTGAAATTACACAGAAATCCTTTCTTGGATTAGAAAAGAGCAGAACACAGATAACATTTTCATTCTAAGTCATCATATGTAACTTTATCAAAAATTCCCTACAGTATGTCTTGACTGTAACTCCATTTTGACCATACCGTCTTCCCACTCTTCCTGCTCCTGCTGTTCCTCCAACATGTCTGAATTTGCCTGCTGAGTCGTTGCACTGTAAAACAAAACAAACGAAACATATGTCAGTGGTACATTCACTTTTGCATTCAGTATATAGAACTTTACACACAAAGACAAAACATAAAAAAATAATTTTCCTAATAATAAAAATCACAGAAGTGTCCAAAAAATTATGCATCTTGAATTAAAGCTCACCGTGGTCTGCAAGAAGTTGAGCGAACTGTTGAAACACAAAACAAATATAATTTTAAAGCAAAATATTGCATGCAGGTATATTCTGCTATGTTATGTGGTTGGTTTGATTAATCCATACAATAAACAATGACTTGTGAAAAAAATGTGAAGTCTAAAATTATTTTTAATTATACTTATTTGACCTATTTTGTTGGAAATCCACCAAAGACATGCCCCGAGTGATAGCATCAAGATTATTACTCCAACATGGAGTAACACTGTAGACACCAAATCAACTGGAAAGTAAAATAAGATGATTCATTTATTTAAAAATATATTTCAGTATAAAAATAATACATTATTATAAAAATACGTCTATCTAAAGCATTTTTGAAACATTCAGAGACCCTTACCTTTGACCTCAAGAAATACTTTGTTTGTTCCATGAACTGTGTACTCATGCTCATAGATGCATTTCGATGGCAGCACTATGCAGCTGTAATGACCTGAATCCCTCAAAACTGCACCATCGATGATGAAAGTTGTCAGCATCTGAGAGACATTAAAGACTTGCACTTGGAGAATCGTGTCATTCTTCCTCAGGTAAGCGTAGATGAATTTACATCCACCAAGAGTTTGAATATGTTGAGACACTGTGCACTGGAATTCAACATAGTCTCCCTCATGAACAGTGGATGACCCAACTATTGAAATATCTGCTGGGAGAAAATTGGCTGCATGGAAACAGGAGAAAATGAGTGGAAAGAAATAACAATGACATCATGTGTTCAGGAGTCAAAACACTTACCTATGACCAGAATCTCAATGATGTCGTCTCCTTTCTTGGCTACTTCAGAAAGTGTATAATGATTTGGGGAATAAACACAGCTGTAATTTCCACTGTGATGAAGACCAGCTCTGTATATGGTGAACAGGGTGTCACTTTGATCTTGTTTCTGGGTGAGATACTGGATTCCGCGCCCATTTATTAACAAATAAACATGAACCATGGAGTCTTTCTTTCTCCCAAATGTGCTGCATGTTACATAAAGGTCACTGTTTTCACTTATAATCGTCTGCTGCGCCAGGATCTTTGCAGGAAAAATATCTGTGTGACATCATAGTGAGTAATATATGCAATGAAGAAAGCAGCTTAAATAACATTTTGGAATACAGAAGAGACATATCTTGTAATGAAGGAAACTGAACTTACCTTCGGTTTGGCTTATGACCTGATTTGTCAGAACACCTTGAAGAAAAGAAGTGAAAAATCTAATGAATCCTGTCAGCTTAAATAGAAAAAAGTTTGACTGAAAGACATAGATGTTATCTGTTAGTGCACTCACACAGAAGAGCAATTATTATGTTCATCGTTATAGACAATGAGCCGCCCTCACAGACTCTCTGCAGCGTATCTTCTGAAAGCTTCTCAAAAGTCTTGCTCAAACCACAGAGAGTAAATATGGAGAAACTATATTGAACCACTTCCTGTTATTTGTAAGGTGACACGTGATATTTCAACATTTTTGACTGGATAAAAAATAATATCTACAAAAAAATAAAATTCAGAGGAGTGTGTTCTTAAACCATTTTACTTTCAAATACCTCATATCACAAATTGATTTCCACTGACGTTTCTTTAGTTGTATAATAAGTCATTCTGACATACAGACAATTATACCCAATACAGGATGCTTATCTTCTTTCACTCACGCTCACTGAGGAAATATATGTAAAAGATTTTCACACATTTTCAAACACACATATATACACTCACAAAAGTGAGGCTTTCACCATAACACAAAGCTGAACACTGATTTAAAAGTGCACTTTGACTGATTCTGATTCAGCTGACTTTAACAGATTAGACTGACTGGTTCTTTTTCTGGATAGAACAATATTATTTGCTTTGCATCTTTGTAAAGGATCCAGTGTCCAGTGTGTCTGTATGCTTGACAATTACAGCTTTTACCCCAGGCATGCTGGGGTGTTCATAAAAGATTTATGAAAAGTTTCAGAAAAATGAAACTTGCGGTGTGTGTGTTTCATAAATATAGTATTATTTACAGATTCACTCAAACCTATCTTCTTACAATTCTAGATCAACGTGTATACAGGAGTGGGTCACATGCTTACGTTTGCATGCCTCAAACATTAATGATAACAACTTCAGTATTTATCAGTTCCATTCTTTAATTCTCAGGCTTGCAGCGGCAACACAATCTGCAGCACTAACTTGTTGCTCTAATGTTTTCCTTCCTTTTTCCTAACCCCCTTTCCGGCTTACATTCGACCTTTTCAAAATAAAATATCTGTAAATGTCACAATGGTTACACTACTTTTTCCAAAGGTCCTTTTTGTCTTTGTACACAATGTTTAAATATCCTCAAAATTTACAAATTACATTTTCTTAAATTATTACATGTCCCAGAAAGTAACTGCTTCAGAGTTAGGCAGGACCTCTTATAATGCATTTGTAACTTTTAATGTCCAATCAAATAAGGGCGCATGTATTGCAGCAATCTGAACAAATTAAGTTACATATCTCTTTAAAATGACTAGGAAGTAACTTGTAGTAACAAAGATTTACCATGGGATGTCAGCCTTTGAGCAAAGTGTCGAAGAGTGTCATATGAAACTCTAGATTTAAAAAAAAAAGTGGAATAGTTTGATGTGGTTTCTGGAAACTAAAAATAAATTAACTTACACCATCTTTCTAGGTTGATTTTATATACTTAAATAAGCAAGGAGAAAGAGTCGCAGTCTTTCTTTGTTAGTGCAGTAGATCTGATTTAGCATCTTTTTTCCAAGTGTGTCTTAGGTCAAGACAGGGAACTTTAACTCATCTCGTCATCTCATTTACAGGATAATTTAAAGATCCCAGATAAAACTCATGTAAGCTCAGCCTGCCTGGGTTTAAGCCCAGGACCGTCTCAATGTGAAGAATAGTGCTAACCACTTTGCATGTGGTACTGGGCAAATGTTTTTAGCCACTATTGAGGACAGTGATTCCACACAAAAAGCCACAGGGGGCAATTTAGTGACAAGAATATCATAAAAGAGAGCTTATGGCAAAGGCCTGATTTCAGAATCCTAACTTCAATATGAAATTGCATTTTCTTTTTTCAAATGGGGGGTGTTGCTGTTTTTGCAGAGTATCTAACGAATGAAAGCAACAGGTTATCAAATGCATCGTCTGAACACTGCCAGCAGTCACCTTCTCAGGATCACTCTCTGCCCTGGTTATTAATATCAGCCTGGCAACAGTTGGAGGTTAGGACGCATGCTTTAATCAGCAATGCATGGTAGCGGATGTTCAACAGAAAAGCAGTAGATGACGAGGTATATCTGATGGCAAAGGGTAGGAGAGTCATACACATCGTGATAGACAGATACACAGTGTAACTTTATCACCACAGTCAGAGGGCAGGCAGAAGACAAGCACTGTGAGAAAGGAGATTAGGAGTCATGGGATGATCATGTTAATTGCAAAGAAAGGAGGGAGATGACGGATGCACAAAAAGTGTGTTATATCTTTGTAGATCTCCTTTCAGTAGTTCTACTTAATGTTGTGTTTATAACCAGGTTCATCGACAATAACCCATTTGTCTGTCTCACAGAAGTCCTTGAGGCTTGTAGTTGAACTAATCAGCCCCAAGTTGGCCTTGGCTTTGTTGTTTGTCCAAGAATCAAACTTTTCTTCATTGTGCAGTTTAGTTGATCAAATTGGTGAATGGACTAACATTAACTGGAACATGGATTAAAGAAAATATGGGGCTGACAAAGCTGTTGCCTTTATTTTAATGTTTGAAGGAGGCGGCACACAGGCATGCTGGCAGCTTACAGGCAGATTGTCTGTGGTTGGAAACGGTCATCTCTATTTAGACACTTGTGAGCTTGCCTCTCCCCTCATTTCTGGTTACCGTTTTTCATGACAGAATTAACTATTCTAATTCAAGAAGCACACCTGTTCTGTGGTCTTCCTGTAAGACTCAGTGAAGTAACACAGACAAACTTGCTGGTTTGAAGGGACAAAAAAGGTTTATAATAAGCTGCTCGTGTTTGTTTTTGTTATTCTTATCAAACTTGTCCTCAATCTAACCTTATTGAGCTATAAAACTCAAAATGACAAAACAGCTACTGACAGGTAATAAATGTTGGATTTGACAACTGCATTCCTCATACTGCCAATTTATGCATGTTAGCAGTGAAGTCACCTATGTAATTTTTAAAAGATATCATAACTATGAGTTTTACAGTATAAGGAAGTCAAACGCCATGCAATCATAGTATACACAGATTCACGACTGCCAAAATATGTTGAACACTCACCTTTCCTTATTGTTTTGATACTTTTTTATTTGAGTTTTGTAAAGTGTACATAAAAGTATTACCAGTATTTTTATACTGGTAATACTTTTAATACCTGTTACTGGTAATACCTGTTATAAATCACTCTATACTTCTGGTCCATTTGTCACCCAGCTGTAAAGAAACACTCTGAAATCACAAACACTTGTATTTATTTGCATTTATTTAAACCGAACCTCTGCACAGAGGGAACTAATGCAATTGTAACCAGCAGATCTGAGGGTCAATCCCTCAGTCCTACACATATATACTCACACTTTGGGGGAGGGTCCCCATGAGCTTTAAAATATGCTATAAAACCCTGGGGATTCCCTTATATGGCAATAACAGCAACTCATGGCCAGAGTGGTGCGTGTGGGTGTGTCTGTGTGGTACCAGCCTGTGCTGATACTTGAGTATGTGTGTATGTATATGTGCTACGTAAGCATGTGCAGAGTGGATGTTGGACGCACGGTTAGTCATGAGAAAAACCATTCATGTAACCAACATCTTACTGAAAGATTGTATACTCATGACATCTGTCTGCTTTTACCCTATTCTGTGCATACTATTCTTCATATTTCCTTTTATGACAGGCAGACCCCCACTGTCAATAAATTCCTCTCTCTCTACAATTACACACACCCAAATCCTTTCCCATTCCTCTGATCTGATGACAGCTGCTCCCTACCATCTAAACAAACTTGAGCACATTTTATTCTAATCATAATTTTCTTGTACTCACAAACTTTAAACCAGCCTAACAGCTGTATATAGCTACCTTAAATGAAATTTCATTAAAGCTTTGGGAAACAGATATTATCAGGAGTAATAGTTTTAAATGTTTTTTTAAGCACTGAGCGTATGAATGTTAGTGGAATAAGACTGTTGTCTTTCTTTGGATTAGAAAAAGAACAGATCTCAGATAGATAGGTTTTCTTTTTCAGTCATCGTGTGTAATTCTATTAAGAATTCCCCAGACTATGTCTTTACTGTAATTCTATTTTTACTATACCTTCCTGTGCTTCCCTCTATCTGCTCTTGCTGTTCCTCCAATATGTCTGCATTGCCTGCTGACTCATTGCACTGTAAAAACAAAACAAACTAAACATATTTCAGTGGTACATTCACTTTTGCATTGAGTGTTTATAGGCACACTAACACATTAACACACACTTCAACAGTCATAAGAAATAACTTTTCTACTAAAATGTCCATGTACACACGATACATAAGTATTTAAAAACATCAGACTAAATTAAAGCTCACCGTGGTGTGCACAAAACTGAATGAACTGTTACAAAACATAACATTTTAAAAGAAAACAAAGCATGCAGGTTTACTGAAGTACAATATGTGATCTGTCTTATTACCCTGGAACGCCATACAGAAAGACTTAGTAAAAAAATATGGAACCAAAATTTTTTTGATTATTAGGTATTTGATTACACTTGACCTTGTAACCCTAACCCTGGACCCAGAGTTGACTCAGCCTCTTCAAGTGCGCTGATTCTATTGCTGTACAGTAACTCAGTCTGACATACCGACAGTAGTACCCAATACAGGATCCTATCTTCATTCACTCTCACTGCTCTGGGAAATTATATAGGAAATAAAAATTTACAACAGCTATAGCTATTCAAATGTAAAATAATCTCTACAGAAATTTTACATGTTTTTTCAAATGTCTTTACAAGACATTTTATTTCATCAATCAGAAGAAACTGCGTTACATATCCCTTTATAAAAACAACCTGGGAGTGGCTTAAAGTAACAGAGATTTACCGTTGGATGGTACTTTCATACTTGGAACACAGTTTGTGCCGCTTGATTTTCAAACACGAACATCTAAATCAAGTTTTTTCTAAATGAAGAGTGTAATGTGGTATCTGGAAACACAAAAGAAATCAACAAACAGAGACTTGATATCATTCTGTTGTTCGGGGCCTGATGTTTTGTCCTGGTTTTGCATGGGACTTAATGAATGGTACAGAATTTTTAACTAATAGTCTGAACACTGTTAACAGTCACCTTCTCTCTCTGGCCTGCTCATGAAAATCACT